TAATATTTCCTTTTTGCCTTTTCTTTTAACGCAAATATATTATTTGATTGATTATATGATTTATTATGAGTTATTGTATGTATTAAATATAAATTATACTATATATATTAAAAATATTATTTAATATCAAAACGTGTCTTAACGTGTCGAAATTTAACATTTTTCAGAATTTACGTATCGGCGTGTCGTGTTCCGTGTCCGTGTCCGTGCAACGTAGGTGATGATGTGATCAATTATTTTGTCATAAAAATTATAAAATAATTTACAAAGATTGAATTTTAAACTTTGTTTTAATTCACGGAATGATTTACAACGTTGATGTATGGTTTTCCATCCTCAAGTGTTGTACATATCATATGGGCTTTCGTATAGCTATGTTATCTTAAACCTTGTGTAAATGTGGATTTTTATTTCTAAAATATCTTCTACCAATATTAAAAAAAAGGCTAAAGTTTATTTATCTAATATTTTTTTTTCCGAAATTCCCAATATCCTAGCAGTAACGTACAACGTTGATGTATGGTTTTCCATCCTCAAGTGTTGTACATATCATATGGGCTTTCGTATAGCTATGTTATCTTAAACCTTGTGTAAATGTGGATTTTTATTTCTAAAATATCTTCTACCAATATTAAAAAAAAGGCTAAAGTTTATTTATCTAATATTTTTTTTCCGAAATTCCCAATATCCTAGCAGTAACGTACAACGTTGATGTATGGTCATCCATCCTCAAGGGATAATTTAACGGTGACATTTTGTAAATCACGTAATATTTTGAATCATTTTAGTCGTGACAGCTTGGTGATTCAAAATTTATAATAAAAAATAATAACGTCAAATCTATTTTTAAAAGGATTAGCTGAGGTGAGACATCTTGTTAATCCCGCAGTCTTTTGAATCATTTTAGCCGTGACAACTTGGTGATTCAAAATTTATTGTAAAATTTACAATAATAAAAATAAAAATTATTGAAATAAATATAAATCATCAAAGCCAAAACTTTCCAATATTTTTTTTAATTTTTTTAAAAAAAATTAAATTCAATCAACACACAATTATTTTCTACAGAGCGACGTAGTTTTGAGTTCCCTATTGTACCAAGGGATACGTCGGAGCAATACTCTTCCCGTCAAGCACAAAAATAAATTTTCAAAAATTAGTTTTTTTTTTCTTTAATTAATTTTGTTCAATTCTTTGGAGTGAAATAAATATATAAAATTTTATCAATAATTTGCACAATTAATATAAGGTAACTATTTTTTTAAAACGGACAATGTAGGGTGCTAATACATTCCATACTCTTAATCGACTCCCGAATCCATTTCTGTTTTTCAAAGATCAATTTTCAAACAGAAAAAGTATTTTTCCAATGTTTTCCTAAATAAAACTTGGTGGCGACTCCATTGTTTTTAAACTGTAATCTCTTTCGCCATCACGTCGTGATCCAATTGCGACAGCCGCTCTAGTGGAAGGGAAAACAAAGGTAGAGGTTGTGGAAGAAGTAATTTGCAGTGCCAACTATGTTATAAACTTGGATTTGAGGTTCACTCATGTTGGCATCATTTTGACCCCGCTTTTGTACCCATATAGTCACCACCTTCTAATTCTCAATATTTCACCTCACAAACACCTTCTTTTTCACCGTATCAAAGCATCTTGCCTCCTCAACCATATTAGCCATTTTTCACCAAATCTCTTAAGCATCACAAGGTGTTAATTAGACCCAAATTTCATTTTTCTCTGGCATAAGCACATTCCAAAAAATACTCCAACAACCACTACAATATATTATTCGACCAAATCAGCCTCAACTCCATCCTTTATTGACAACTCAAACCCTTCCATGTAACAATCAAGGCCTTTTTCCTACTCCTTAATCATCTCAGCAAGGTTTGGAGTGGTTTCTAATTTCTGGGGCGTCCCATCATGTCATCTCAAATCCACAAAATTTTCTTCATAGTACACAACTTACTAGAGCTGATCAAGTCATGCTAGGAAATAGTCAAGGTTTGACTATAACAGCAGTAGGCTCTTCATAATTTTCATCTCTTTTAAAGCCACACAGTACTCTATTTCTCAATAATCTTTTTTTGGTTCCATCTATAACAAAGAATATGGTCAGTGTGAGTCATTTTGCCAAAGATAATTTTGTTTATTTTGAATTTCATCCTTACTCTTGCTTTGTGAAATCACATGACTTTCACCCAATTCTTCTTAAAGGTGTTCTTGGTAGTGATGAATTGTATCATTTCAAAGACACTTCTCTTACCAACAAAGCCCGGCACAGTTGGTAGATAACTAGGTCCTTTAAGCGTGCTGACTGGGGTTCGACCCCTGGCCGTGTGTATAGAAAAGACTTTGTTGGGAGAGGCTGTACCCACAATCGCATGATCTCTCCGCCTCGAGAGGATTAATCTTTGGCTTTCGGCTGGGTGATACCCTTGGAACAATTTTCAAAAAAAAAAAAAGACACTTCTCTTCATCCATCATCATCGTGTGCTCCATCTTGTTTCTCCACTGTTCTTCCTAGTTCATGCAATTCTCTCTGATTCAAGTGACTCCTCGTTATCCTCAGCATATTTCAGAACTGGTGTTCAAGATATAGATACATCTTATGCTCTTTGGCACTATAGACTTGGTCATCCTCATCATGAAACTTTAAAAACTATATTGAAATCTTGTAACATTCAGTTCAGTAATAAAAGTTCCTTTAATTTCTATCCAACAGGGGTGTTCATCAACCAATCCAAACTGATTCAAACCGCAATAACCGAACCGAAAAACTGATAACCGAATAAATCGAAAACCGAAAAACCGAAAACCGAAAAAAACCACAAATTTTAATTGGATTGGATCAGATTTCAGATTGATTGATGAAAACCGATCCAATCCAAACCGATCAAATCCAAACCGATCAAATCCAAACCGATCCAATATATTAATTTCCCTCTACCTAATTGGGTCTTTTCCCAATCATAACCTAAAAAATTCTAAACCCTAACCCATCAACTAAATCTAAGAAAAAACTTAGTCACATCTCATTAACAAAATTTCATATATGAAAAGCTTCATATCTCATTGTCAAAAAAAAAAAACTATATTGTCGTTTCCTAATGCTTTTGTATTTCAAAAAAAGAAATTACAAAGTCAATATATACAAAAGATGTTATTTGTACAATAATCATGAAACAAATTTTAGGATTTTCAAAAAACCGAAAACCGATCCAATCCAAACCGAAAAAAATTGGATCAGATTAGATCGGATTTGAAAAAAATCCAAACCGAATGGATGATTACATGATCAAACCGAAGGGATTGGATCGGATGATTTTTGCTTCCAAAATCGATCCAATCCAGACCGCGAACACCCCTACTATCCAATATGTTGTATGGGCAAGTCCCATAGACTACCTTCTTCTCCCTCAACTATTGTATATGCTGAACCATTTGACTTGGTGTTTAGTTATCTTTGGGGTCCTGCTCCTATGTTATTTATTTTAAAATCAATTTATAAATTATCTTAATTTTTTATTTATTTTAAAAATGGGGAATACTAATATCATGTTGTAAGATCATAGTATCTTATGTCATAGACATAAAGCATGTGTGACCCATTTATTTATTTATTTATTAAAGAGTGGGACACACATGCTTTGTGTATATGACATGAGATACTAATATCCTACCACATGGGACTAGTCTTTCCCTTTTAAAATATTAGAGTAAATATTTTTTTTGGTCCTCAACAAATTTCATGATGCCCACTTTAGTCCCTAACAAATAAAAAGGCCCGTCGTGGTCCCTAAGAAATTCAAAATGGACCTATTTAGTTGAAATCGTGGTCCCTGACAAATTCAAAAAAGACCCATATTAGTCCTCAAAAGGACTAAAATGAGTCCATTTTGAATTTCTTAGGGACCACGTTGAGCCTTTTTATTTGCTAGGGACTAAAGCGGATATCGTGAAATTTGCTGAGGACCAAAAAATGTATTTACTCAAAATTTAAGATAAACTAAATACGTATTATCAAAATAAGATATTTATTTTCTTTAGATAATTCTATAACGATATCAGGTAAAAGATAGATAAAATAAAATTATATTTGATTTGAATTTATTTTCATGATAAAAATAAGTAAATTTTTAAAGTTTATTTTTATTTATTTGCCTTAAATGCATTAGATGAGGATATAAAATAAAAAAGAGGAAAAATAAAAAAAAATTATATGTATAAAATTATAAGGATAATTGATTCTGTTATTAATTAAAATATAAATAAATTTAAATTTAAATAAATAATTTATATTTTTTGGTACATAATTTTAATTTGTAATATGATAATAATATAAGATAAAAGTTGAGAAAAATAAAAAAATCTATGATATATAAAATCACAAGAAGTCTAAGTAATATATTTTTATAACCACAATGAGAGTAAGTAAGAATTTGAAATTGCATGGGATTAAATAATAAATTATTTAAACACGATGGACTTAAATAACAAATTTAAAATCACAAAAAATCAAATGATAAATTATAAAATCGTAATAGGTGAAAATGAAATTTTTTCAAAAAAATATTAGTACAAGTTTGTAATATTTTATATTCTTAACAAAAGAATTTCTTTAAAAAAAAAAACATAGAAGAAGGCGAGGATGTCAACTTTGAAGACCTGCGATGTTAGTAGTGCAATGTGCAAATTACCGAAATTGTTTTTTTTTTAAAATATTACTACAGCTGTACAAGTTTGTAATATTTATAGTTTTAACATTTTTTTTTTAGAAAAAAACTTCGAAGAAGGTGAAGAAATCAGCTTTGAGGGGCTGCAATATTAGTATTTAGTAGTGCAAATTACCAACAACAACAAAAAATTAACGAAAAAATATTAGTACAAGTTTGTAATATTTTATATTCTTAATTTATTTATTTATTAAAAAAGAAACTTCGAAGAAGGCGAAGAGGTGAACTACGCGTGCTATTTTGTTTACAGAAGACCAACTTTTGTTTCTCCATTCAATTTACTTTACCAAACTGTGTTTCCAAACTTCTCTTGTAGTTTGAGAATTGTGAGCAAAAATCATGGCAAGTCAAGAATCACTGTTGCCCTCTTCTTCCTTTAGCTATCGATTCAAATACGATGTGTTTCTCAGCTTCAGAGGCGAAGATACTCGTCACGGTTTCACTGGCTATCTCTACAAAGCTCTTCATGACAGAGGAATCCACGCATTCATTGATGATAAAGAGCTTCAAAGAGGAGACGAAATCACACCATCACTTGTCAAGGCAATCGAAGATTCCAGGATTGCCATCGCTGTGTTCTCTGAGAACTATGCTTCTTCTTCATTTTGCTTGAACGAACTTGTCCATATCCTTCACTGCATCAAGGAAAAGGGTCGGTTGGTTTTGCCTGTTTTTTATGACGTTGACCCTTCTCACGTGCGACATCAGAGAGGTAGCTATGAAGAAGCACTCGCTACTCTTGAGAAGAGGTTTAAGGATGACAAGGAGAAGGTGCGGAAATGGAGGATGGCTCTGCGTCAAGCTGCTGACTTGTCTGGTTTTCATTTCAAACAACAATGGTAATGTTTTATCTTCTTACGTTTTGTTTCTTTAATTATCATTTGTCTTATGATTGATTTGGTTTAATGTTAATATGAATCATTTAGTATGACTTCACTCAATAATTGGGCAGGAATGAGAATGAATATGAGTTTATTGAGAAGATTGTTAAAATGGTTTCCAACAAGATTAATCGCGCTCCTTTACATGTTGCCGATTATCCGGTTGGATTGGAGTCTAAAGTGCGAGAAGTAATCTCACTTCTCAATGTCGGATCTGATGGAATCCACATGATAGGGATCCATGGAATTGGGGGAATAGGGAAGACAACAGTTGCTCGAGCAATTTATAATGCTATTGCGGAATCATTTGAAGCTTTGTGTTTTCTTGATAATGTAAGAGAAAATTCAATTAAACATGGATTAGAACATATCCAAGAGACACTTATTTCTAAAGTATTCGGAGAGAAGGATATTAAGTTAGCAAGTGTCAAAGAAGGAATTACAATAATAAAGCATAGGCTCCACAGAAAGAAAGTTCTTTTGGTTCTTGATGATGTTGACAAACTGGAGCAGTTGCGGGCAACTTTTGGAGGGCTTGATTGGTTTGGTTGTGGCAGCAAAATCATCATTACAACAAGGGACAGACATCTGCTAACAAGTCATGGGGTTGAGAAAACTTATGAGGTAGATGGGTTGAATAATATAGAAGCTCTTGAATTACTTAGTTGGAATGCTTTCAAAACTGACAGAGTTGATTCGAGTTATGTGGGCATTTTAAACCGTGCAATAAATTTTGCTTCTGGCCTTCCACTGGCATTGGAGGTAATAGGTTCCTACTTGTTTGGGAAAGGGATAGAAGAATGGGAATCTGCATTAGATCAGTATGAGAGAATTCCTAATAAAGAGATCCAAAAGATACTTGAAATAAGTTTTCATTCTTTGGGGGAAAATGAGCAGAAATTTTTTCTTGATATTGCTTGTTTCTTCAAAGGAAATAATTTAGCATATGTCAAAAAATTACTTTATGCTCATCATGGTTTCTGCCCTGAATATGGTATTGGAGTGTTGATTGAAAAATCTCTCATAAAGATTAATGTGGATGGTCATGTAACATTGCATGACCTGATAGAGAATATGGGTAAAGAAATTGTCCGACAGGAAGCACCAGAAGAGCCAGGCAAACGTAGCAGATTATGGTTTCCCGAAGATATAGTTCAAGTTTTAGAGGATAATACGGTAAGACTGATATGGATGGTTTTGTTTTCAAAATTTTACCTTTATTTATCTTCCTTTTTTTATTTTTTATCTCTCTTTTTATTTTTTATCTCTTTTGATTATTATGTGCTGGACACTTAGGTCACTATGTTTATACCTCTGTTTACAATCTTTTGTGGAGTGTGGACAATGTTATTTCACAGTCTGTTGTTTTCCTTTTATGATACTTAATATTCTCTAAAATTTTACCTTTTTTGTTTTCCTTTTATTTCTATTGTTGACAATGTTATTTCGCTGTCTGTTGTTCTCCATACATATACATGCATGTATTACGGTTGACATGTGTTTTTGTCTTTAAAGGGAACTAGTAGTATTCAAACAATAATGCTGGATTTCCCCAAATCTGAAGAAGTAGTTGAATGGGATGGAAACGCCTTCAAGGAGATGAAAAACCTCAAAACACTAATTATTAGAAAAGCTTGTTTTTCGGAAGGTCCCAAACATCTTCCAAATAGTTTGAGAGTACTGGAATGGTGGAGATATCCTTCACCATCTTTACCGTCTAATTTTCATCAAAAGAAAATTGTGATACTAAAGTTACCCGATAGTCGCTCTACTTCAATTGATTTGCTCATGTCAAATAAGGTAAGTATATTATGTTCCTTTCCTTGGTCTTTTATATTAATATATTCATTCTATTATAATTCATTTGATTCCTTTTTTTTTATTTGTGGCAGGAGTTTGTGAATACGAGAGTTTTGAATTTCAATGGATGTCAATGTATTACTGAGATACCTGATGTGTCTGGTGTCCCAAATTTAGAAGAATTATCATTTGGATATTGTGAGAATTTAATTAAAATTCATGAATCGGTTGGATTCCTAAATAAACTTAAAATCTTGAACGCTATTGGTTGCAAGAAGTTTAGGAATTTTCCACCCATCAAGTTGACCTCACTTGAAGGACTCAATCTTTCACATTGTCCTAGTCTTGAGAATTTTCCAGAAATATTGGGAAAGATGGAAAAAATAAAATATCTTAATTTCCGTGACACTCCCATAAAAGAACTGCCATTTTCAATTCAAAACCTCTCTCTGCTTAAAAGTCTAGGGCTGGGGAATTATGAAGGAGTTGTTCAGTTACCAAGGAGCATTTCGATGATGCGAGAACTTAAGGAGTTGAGTGTTGAGAACTGTGAGGTATTGCTTATATCTGAACAGGACGAAGGTGATGCACAAGTGAGCTCATTGGTGTTTGAGCTCATTCACCTTTTGCATTGCAATATATCAGATGAATTCATCCGAAAAGGTTTCCCTTTGTTTGTCAGTGTGCAACAGTTAAAGCTAGAGGAGTGTAATCTCACAATTCTTCCTGCATGCATCAAGGAATGTCTCTATTTGAAGGAAATTATTTTATATTGTTGCGAGAATTTTCGAGAAATTGGAGGGGTTCCACCCAACTTAGAAACATTCTATGCAGAGGAGTGCACATCCTTGAAAGATTTAGACCTCACACTATTTCCTGAATGTCTGACGACACTTATTTTGCATAAATGCAAGAATCTTCAAGAAATTAGATGGATTTCACCCAACATTAGAACTTTGCTTGCAACAGACTGCCCATCCTTGACATCCGAGTGTAGAAGCATGTTACTTAATGAGGTTCTTGTCGTCTTAAGTATTTAATTTGATATTTCATATATTTCATGTTGACTCAAACTATACAGGTGTTGATAAATGTATGAATAAATTATGACTAACAGGGATTGCACGAGGAGGGAGGAGACAAAGTGTTTATCTTGCAAGAAACAAAAATTCCAGAGTGGTTTGAGTATCGTATCAATGGACCGTCAATTTCTTTCTGGTTTCGTAACAAGTTTCCTGCAATATCTCTATGCTTTGTTATTCGACCTGATGGAGATTTTGACACTTTTGAGGTCAATATTGAAGTCAACGGCATTTCAAAAGTTATAGTAGATGATTTCTGTTTGGATTGCATAGCAGAAGATTATACAGTTCTTTATGATATAAAACAGGAAAAATTCTTACCTAGCGAAATTTTTTCTGATATAGAAGAAAATAAATGGAATTATGTGGTGTGTACTTTATTGATATCACAGAGCCTAGAAACAGTGTTTATCAAAGAAAGTGGAATCCATGTATTCAAACAAGGAAGCAGCATGGAGGACATTCAATTTACTGATCCACTCTTGTTGAAAGAAGAGCATAGATAGGTGGACATGGCAGATTCTCAGACAATTTATGCAGCACCAAAATAATTTGGCTTCATTGCCTTTTTTGGAAACAAAAAAATTGGGAAAGGGCATAGAGTTGGTTTCATTGCTTCCACCTCCAGCATCGAAGAATAATGTGAATTGGCATTCAAATTCAATGGTATCAAAGCTGAGAAGTAGCACTCTCAATTTCCAAGGTAAATACATTTGTTGCATTTCTTTCTCGGTATGCTTTCACTATTTCCGAGTTTACTTGCCTTATAATTTCAGTTAGTTGTTTAAGTAATGTAAGAGAAATTGAATTCTATAAGATTATGAATTAGTATGGAAATATAACGAAATAATATTTGCAAATTTTGATTTAACTTGTTTATTTATAAGCTATTTTGGCTTCTTAATTGGGAAAAAGTTACTCAACTTTTTATCATCTCAATAGGCTGTGAAATTGTATCCAGAAAGAGGAAAATGGGTATGTTTTGGACTATGAAGCCTGTGAACCTTGTTGTCCTGCACCTTCAAAAGTGACTTTGAATTCAGCAGTGTCAAACTTTGCTAGTGGTGCTGCCAGTGAAGAAGGTAAACAATTTGGGGGTATTTATTTATGATGAGATTGGATTTTCTAACCATAAGATGCGCATTAAGATTAAGATTCATATTTATTTATCAAAATTATTATTCGAACAAGCAAGCAAGCAAGGTTTAATTATAATGTCAATACCACAAAAGTTTTCAGTCTCTTGACAGTACCTCTCCCAAGATTACCATATGAATTCAACTGTACTGTACTGACGACTGGTAAAAATAAAGCAAAAACATTACTGACTTACATATATTCAGCATGCAAGGATGATTAGTCAAACTTATAAATTGAATATCTCACCATCTGAATAAGTTTTTATTGGTAAGTTTACCACTACCAATGCTTCTGTTTTATTAATTTATTATTTTTTAATTGGCTACAAGTTATAACTACACCATTCTGATGCTTGCATTAAAACTCATACTCTAAATTGTCATGCTTCAGGAGAATCTTCTCAAAACCCAGGTTTTGCATAGACACAATATTCAGGACCCTAGCAGACAAGAAACACACCTAAAAACGTTTTGCAGTGTTGTCAACCACAATTGATGTGTCTTTCAAAAATTGAGTTAAGTCAAGATGATGTAGAAAAAGAAGCATTTTATGCTTCTCTTGAAGATGAGACCCATGTTCTTTCAGGTTTGCATGATAAATCGGCCACCACTGCTCCAAATGAAGAGACCTGGGAAGCATTGAAATTAGTACAAGACTTCATCTCCAATGATGCCTCAGTTTTTCTGCATACTAAGCAAATGTAGTATCATGAAAACTAGGAATATGAGGAGAAATGAGAGCATTGATATCAGAAGCTTCAAGGTGCTTGCACATTGGAGATTGAAGTAGTAGGAAAATTTAGTCCACTGCATCTGAGTTTGCTGAGAGCTGATCTGGAAATAACATGAACCACTTCAGGGAAGTTGTGGCATTAGACAAAGAGCTTCTTCAAAAGTTAGCCTATATGGAGGAAAACAAAAAAGGAGCTAGAAGAGCAAATCAATGCTATAAAAGCTAACATCTCATAAGAGAAGGAAAGACAATAACACAAACTATTACTGCCCTGTGCATAAATAATATGGTTATAGGTTTTTGAAGTCTTTTTGTTGTTGATTGACTAGTTGTGTCACAATTTTATGCTACTTTCAAAGGTTAATTAAATTCTTGTTCTTTGCAAGAACGAGCATATGCAGTTAACGTTATTAACTCACACATATATGCACACAGGCTACATGTTATCAGTTTAAAGGAATAATATAACTTAATTATAATGCAGGTTGAGAGATATAAGATCATAGTTTATCTTAAAATCGTCTATACATATCCATAATGGAAGGTAGACGCCGGGTGATCAAATAAGGACATCTATTCTATCAACAGAAAAAAAAAAAAAAACAATACGGAGATCTATTACTCTAATTCCAAAACTTCCAATTCCAAACGATGATGCTGTAGCTAATAAATTAAGGATTTGTAACCGAGGGTGTCACAATTATTAATCAAGGAATATTTAATATTTTTTATAAAATATTTCTAACTAATTAAAAACTTAATAAATTTAAGTTTTCATTATATTAAATGATAATTGTCCAAGACACTATGTTTTTATGGTTAAAAAGAGTTCAAATAATTATTAAAATAGTTAATAATGTAGTGCCAAAATAATAAAACAGTAAAACAGAATAAATTGCCAACAAATAGATAAGATTCTAAATATTTGTTGTTGTTTCAGGTTGTTTAGACTAGAATAACAAAGTACCAATACGATAAGGACGAGGCAACAGTGAATCCGCGGAGCATGAAGAAAATCAGGAATTAAATAAATAATAAATGAAAAAATGTAACGCTCGCTCCACTGCTCGCTGAAGCGAGCAAGTGAGCGAGCAAAATATTGAAGCTCGCCATACTCCTCGCTCAAGCGAGTGAGTAGGTGACAAGCAAAAAAAATTGCTCGCTGAGCAGCTAGCTTCAGCGCGCTTCTCAGCGAGGGGGTTCAGAAATCAGAAGCCCAAAATTTCACCTTTAAATACAACGCAAAGGAAGTGTGAAAGGGATTCTGGAACGCGAAGGAAAAGTCGGAGATGAGACGAAGCGAAGGAAGGAGCGGAAGAGAACACTGGATCGTTGCACAGGAGAAGGAAAGAAGCACTTCTGCATCATTGATCATCACTTTTAGACAAGTTTTATCATGAACTCAATTTCTTTTATTGTATATTTTAATTCTGTCTAGCTAAATTACTCTTAGGGCATGTTTGGTGCATAGTATAAGATAAGGCCTGATGGTATAAGACCTGATAGTATAAGGCCTAATTGAATTTTAATACTATTCAGCGTTTAACACGATATTGTATAAAATAATATATTGTATAAGATAATATCATCTAGTATTTGGTAATGCATTGTATAATACTATATAAGATAAAAATAAATATTTTTAATAAAAATATCCTTTAATAAAGAATTTATATAATTCTTCAAAAAATGTCATATGATATTAATTTTTATAAAAATTTATTGATCAGTATGTCCAAAATATAAATTAATTTTTATAAAAATAAAAAATATTCAATATTTTAAAAATTAATATATTGAAAAATTAATTTTTATTTTAATATATTAATATTAAAATAATATATTAATTTTTAAAAATTGCACTGGTCAATGATGTTAATACACTAACCTCTTTTCAGGCCTTATCGCTCTCCCTTAGGCTGGATTAAGTTATACATCGTTTTGATGTATTAAGAAATTCTGCTGTATAAGCTTATACTATACGATGGTCACACCAAACAACTTAAAATGTCATAACGTATAGTATAAACTTATACTATCATGCCTTATACGTCACATAAAACAGGCCCTTAGTAGTTAGGAAGATACAAAACCAATGGGTTCTTAGTTGATGTTTGTTTATTTCTTATGAATTACATTCTTGCTTTTGAATTATGCAATCAATCTGATATTTATGATTAGTTTTATTTATGACTTGATCACCGTAGATAAATATATGAGTCATATATGACAATAGGGATGCTGGTATATGATTCTGATTGGTTGATTGCTGGAATTTGCATGATCTAGGGATAAACTTGTGGATTTTATAACTGTGAGTTCTTGCGTTAATGCTTATTTTATAAAAAAAGTACTAAGGGATTAGGCAATGGATTAGAATAAAGGATTAGATTACCAAGGGATTGAGATTTAGTCAATTGTAGAAAGAGCTGTTAATAATTTGATCTTGAATGTAATAATATGAACAAACAAACTCGTTAAGAAAGGGGAAGTTGAATCCTAACTACGCCTTTTATTGAAAACTTAAATCAATTTTTAGCTTTAATTAATTCTGAATCTAATTTCTAAAATATTAAAAACCAAAAATAGTTTTGTAAATTTTGCTTTTAATTTAATCACAATATTCTCAAGAAAACCTTTAATGATCGATCCAACTTTAGTTAAATAAATAAATTATTGCTTAGTCATCAGTCCTCGTGGGATCGACAACTTTCTTATCACTTTATTACTTGTACGACCGGTGCACTTGCCGAGTTCGTCAACATTAAACTTTGTTTTGATTTAACAATCTTTTTAAGAGCTTTATTAATCTCATGTTATAGGAGAGTAGTTCTTTCTTACCATAGACACAATTATGAGTGGGGCCCACTCATTTATAAAAAATAAAAATTGAGCTACACGAAAATCGATGGATGTGTAGGAAAAGAGATACTCTCCAATAACATAAGTAATTTTTTCTTTTTTCTTTTTTAATTCATTAACCAATACTTTACAAAATCTAATATATTAAACCGAATAATATTCTTTATTTCATAAATGATGTGAAGGGTTGATATTATCTCACCATTAGTTTGTTTATAACAGTGTTTTAAAACTCCACCCCACCCCCGAGTTGACCCGGATCAACTCTGACCCCTCCCCTCTAAGAGTTGGGGTCACAAGTTGGACCCTATATGCATATCGACCCCTTCGATCCCCAAAACCCGGCCTGGTTTCAATGACTCCCGAGTCGGAGGGGTTAAAAAGGGTCACTGCATGTTTTTTTAATCCCATGAAACAACATCTTTTTATTAAAAAAATAAAATAAAAATACTTGCAAACCTAAATCTAATCGTTTTCTTCTCTCCCAGCGACCTAGACGTTTTTAATCTCCACCTCGCTGCCGTGAATCTTCTAGAAAAGGTAAGAATTTTACCCATTCAAATGAAATTCTTACGGTCGTCGATGAAAAATAAAAACTCATTCTTACTTCCTTTAAATTTTCCTTTGTCAGACACCTTCTCAAAAGAAGCAGAACCGGGTCAACATAGTGACCCCATTAGAATATGAGTTTTGTACTTTGGTATCTTGATACTTTAATTAGGTTGTGTAATATTCACTTGTGGTTGTAATTGGTGAATTATGTTAAGTATATTTTAAATATTTGATTATTGGTGATTTATTTTTTAATATTTTTATATAGGATATGCATATTTATATTTTTAATATATAAAATCGGGTCAGTGTAGTGACCCCGTGACCCCCCGGTTAAACCCATGACCCCTGACCCCTGACTTTGGCCGGGTCGATGGCCGGGCCAGATTTTTAAACACTGGTTTATAGATGGTTCAAAGACTAGAGAGAAAAAAAGTTAGAAGAAAGTATCACCATTTATTTATGAGAAAAATATTTTGTCCTTTTAAAAGATAGTTATTTTAGTTAAAACTGGTATTTTTATTTTAAAATTTAAATTTTAAAAAAATCTCTTACTTTCTCCCCCATGATTTTCGTTGTGTATCTCATTTTCTCACTTAAAATGACACAATTCTATATTCTTTAAAAAAACAAACACCAATCCCTTAATTTATTTGAATCATTTAGGGTGTGCATGACAACCTTCCCGGAACTTTTTTTTTTTAATTTCTGTTCTCGAGAACAGAAATGGATAGAAAATGCGTTTGGTAAAACCAGTTTATTTTTTTGTTCCCGGGATGAACCGATTTAATTTTTGTGCTGGGGAACAGGAAAAAAAAATAAAAAAAGCTCTGCTTTTTTGTTCCTAGGCACAAAATGAGAAACATTTATTTCTTTCCATTACTCTCCACCAAACCACCACTATCATCATCATCATCATCATCCCGACACGACCACCGCAACCATCCGTCGCCGTCATTATACCAACAATGTCGTCGTCACCACCAAGACGACGACGACGATGCCACCGCTACCATCACAACAACGATGCCATCGCCACCACTTCCACCATTATCATCATCGCCACCATCGCACCACTACCATCACTGTCACCACCAGCACCGTCATTGCCATCACCATAACACCACCACTTCCACCACTGTCACTAACCACCACTACCATCGCCGCAGCCACTGCCATTACCACCACCACCATCACCGACCACCACTATCATCATCGCAGCCACCGCCACACCACCTCCACCATTGCCATCACCATGCCATTGCCACCACCACGACGCCACCATTTCCACCACCGTCACTAACCATTATTACCATCGCCGCAGCCACTACCACCACCACCGCCGCCGCCGTAGCCACTGTCATCATCACCACCACCACCATCACTGCAATCACTGCCATCTCCGCCACCACTACCATCATCGTCACCACCACCACTATCATCGCCATCACCACGCCATTGCCACCACCACTTCCACCACCGTCACTAACCACTACTATCATCACCGCAGCCACTGCCATTACCACCACCATCACCGCAACCACTGTTGTCACCACCACCACCACCACTACCACGCCACCGCCACCGCCACCATCTTTGCAGCCACTGTCATCACCACCACAACCACCATTACCACCACCACTATACCGTCAACATTACCACTACTATTACCGCAGCCACTGCCGCCACTACCACTACCATCACCACACCATCACCACTACTACCGCCGCCACCACCATCGCCACCATTACCACCTCCACCACCGCCATCACAACACCATATGTAAAGGAAATTGGTAATGCAAAAAAAATTATGCTTAATAGGAATTACTTTTTATTATATTATTTGTTGTATTATCAAACGCAATTCTCACTCTCAGAATAAAAATAGAACATGTTATCAAACATATATTTTTTCTCAGAAACTGT